CCTACTTCCGTAGTGATACTGCCTCGGAAACCCAAGGAGGGGTCGCTATGAGTCGGGGCCGACTCGACGGCACATAACAACAACAACAACAAGAAGAGTCCTAAGAAACTGAAACAGCAATTCCATGGCTGCCCACAGGAAGATTGCTTTAAAGTCCTTAGGCAAGAGCTTAAATCTCATGTTGTATTTTATGTTCCATTTTATCTCTAAATTACCAGAAAAGTTTATGCATCGTTTCTTCTAAACTCTGTGTTTTCTTAGCTTTTTCCAAAAATATTTGTGGTTTTTGTTTTATTTTGTTCTGTTTTTTAAGGTAACAGGTATGCTTCTACTTGTATGCAAAGGATTTACTTACCTATAATTACTTACTTACATACATGCTGTGGTAGTTAAAACTGTATGTCAACTTGGCTGGGCTGTGGTTTTGAATACTTGGCAGCTGGATGTAGTTATTCCCCTTGATGAGACTGTAATCATTTCCATGGTAGAATCTGCTGTGAGCACCTAATCATTTAAAAGGGAGTTGCCTTAGGGATGTAGCCACTTCCAGTATATATGGAAAAGCCTTGGGAATGGGCTCTAGGTTTCTGGCACATTTTGAGCCCTGTGGCCAGCTGATCTTGGGATTATTCCTGGACTCGAACCAATGGCCTGCCAGTTTTGGAACTGTGCCATTTTACCTAACAACCTTTGATTTGTCAGCCCCAGCAGTTGCATGAGTTTTGAGAAACCTCCAGCTCCAGTGAGCCCTTAAACAGGAGTCAGAGTTGTAGCCCAAGGTCAAGGGGCCTTCACCTAGCCCCTAGAACCAGCACTCTATGAACTTGGACTTCTAGCCTCCTAAACCGTAAGAGAAAAGATTTCTGTTTGTTCAAGCCATCCACTTGTGGTATTTCTGTTATACCAGCATTAGGGAAGCAATGCTTACTTATATACTTCTTCTAAAAATAGAAGTTTTTCTGATGGAGCCTAGTTACCTTTCTGGCCTGGAATTGAACTCATTCCTGTGGCTTCCAGCTAAACAATAGATAGACACACAGGGTGAACATTTTCAATAGGTAGATACACTCCCTGAAACGAGCAATCATGAGAGAACAGAAGGACAGTGCGCAGAGAGAAAGCTTGGAGCAGGAATGCATGAGAAAGAGCGATAAAGGGAAGAGGTAGCTATAGGGAGGAGGTGAGAAGGGAACTGTTACTGGTGATTGCAGTTAATGTCATGAAACAAAATGTGTATGGAAAAAAAAGGTAACAATGGATGTATCTAGTCAACTTTTTTAAGCCACTAAAATTCTTTGAAAGATAGAATTTCACCATTGCCATCTTTAACTCTCCTAGCTTTTCAGTGGCTCTTTTTTTTCTTTCAGAACAGTGCTCTTTATATTTACCATAATCATAATTATGTCTTAGAAGCTTCATTAATACATATCACGTAAATTATCTGTAATAGTTTGGAGGTTCTCGCTGTTGGTATACACTTGCATGAATAACTCCTTCTCTATCTGAAAAAAGGCATGTTCATGAAGCCATGAGAATGGATGGACAACTTAGGACACTTAGCCTATCAGAACAATCAAACTGACAATGAGAGAGATTATTGGCATCACAGCCAGACTGCACTTATATTCAAATTCCCTAAACAATAAGGGAAGAGTATAAAAGTTTTTCCATCAACAGTTAAACTGAAGACTGGTTGTCTCCATTTTAACAGTGCTTTACATTTGTTCTCCATTGAAATTAATGACTTAGTGATTAGGAAATGACTTCTGAGGAAAGAAAAGGTAAACAAACTTACTTCGATGTTGGTGCTCTACCAGAGTTTAAAGACACTGATTTGCTGCTGTTGCTTCTTACAGAATTGTACAAATATTGAGTGCTTAGAAGTCTCCTGTGTGGTGGGACGGTTGGAAGGAGGAGAAAGTGCGGTCCTGAAAATCAGATCACGATTATGGGCTCAAACATTCCTCCAGGTAATAAAACACACAAACACCTCTATACCACTCACATGGAGCCTCTTCTCAAAAGCTCAGCAGAAAGGGTGTTTTTCTTTAAGAGAAGTTTTTCATGGGAATGTCTGTGGAGGAGCTGCACTAAGATCAGCTGGTCAACTTTCCATCAGGTGATGACAGTTAAAATGTAATGAGTCCCTAAGACCTTCAGACAGTAACTTATTCAAACAACTCTCGTTAGTTTACCACTCTATACCCAGCCCATGGTATAGTTGTTGTGTGACACCAGTCAGTTCCAATTCATAGCAACCCCATGTGACAGAGTAAAACTTCCCCATAAGGTGTCCTACACTGTAATTTTTATGGGAGTAGATATGCAGGTCTTTCTCCCACGAAACTGCTGGGTAAGTTCAAACCACCAACCTCTCAGTTAGTAGCTGAGTGCTTCACATTTGCACCACCAAAACTCCTTTCTTCCTGGTATACTAAAAAAAAAAAAAAAAAAAAACTCACTGGCATCTAGTGAATTCTGACTCATAGTGACTCCCTTTGGGTTTCCAATGCAGTAATGGCAGTAGATTGCCTAGTCTTCCTTCTGAGGAGTGGCTGTTGTGTTTGAACTGCCAACCTCTGGCCTTAGGCACTGTGCCACCAGGGCTCCTTTCCTGGTATACTAGGTCTTCAGTAAATACTTGTTAATAAAAGGATGGATGCAAGGATGGGAAGTACAATAACACAAAAATACAAATCAAGTTATATGCACAGAAAAATAAAAATCAGTTGAGATGAGAAAAGTAATGTTGTTGTTGTTATGTGCCGTCGAGTCAGAACCAACTCATAGCAACCCCTCTTTGGGTTTCCAAGGCAGTATCACTACAGTAGATTGCCCAACCTTCCTTCTGAGGAGTGGCTGGTGGGTTTGAACCTCCAGCCTTCTGGTTAACAGTCAAGTGCCTTAGGCACTACCCTACCAGAGCTCCCAAGAAAAGGAATAGTGTCCTAGAAAATTAGTGTTGTAAGATGGTCCTACCAACGTTCTAAGAAGGATAGCAGCTCATTTAAGTTCCAGGCACATGTGATTTATGTGGTGTTTGCTGCTTTGGCTTATCTCTCCTTGGCATCCCTGCACTGCCATGGACAAGTCCTTTAATGTGTGCATTTTAAAAGTTTAAATTTCTCTTGCTATTAAGAAAATGAAAAATTTCCCTTTGCAATGATATATATTCCAAATTTAAATGAATGTACTGTGGTTTGGCCTTATTATTTGAGGATCATTTTTTTATTTAAAAAAAAAAAACTAAATTAAAACTCCCACAATGCCTATTCATTCTTGCTCATATTTTAACTACTAAAAAATTAAAAAAAAAAAAATTTTGCTTGATATGTTTTTCTGTAGAAAAATCAAATGGGAAAAAACAAACCTAAATAAATAAATAAAATGGAACTCTTGTCCTTTGATAAAGTTGTTTACTTAAAGAAAAAATGGTAAGATCCTTTTGAGATTAGTTAATAATAGAGAATCATATAACTCTACATTTTCAAGTTTTCCATGACTTAAAATCCTCTAATAGTCTCACAAATTTTATTTCTCAAATTAAAATGATGAAATTTCAAGTTATTTTTTTAAAGATTGCTGAGAAGAATTTTATGTCACCTCAGGCAGGGTTTCTCATCCTCAGCACTATTGACATTTTCAGCCAGATAATTCTTTGCTGTGAGGGACTGTCCTGTGCACGGTAGGATGTTTAGCAACATCCCTGACCTTACCTACTAGATCCAGATGTTGGCAACCTCCCTCCAAGTTGTGGCATTCAAAAATGTCTCTAGACATTGCCAAATGTCCCCTAAAAAAACTCACCGCCGTCAAGTCAATCGCGACTCATAGTGACCCCTCCTTGGGTTTCCGAGGCAGTATCTCTACAGAAGTAGATTGTTCAACCCTTCCTTCCAAGGAGTGGCTGGTGGGTTTGAACCACCAACCTTCTGGTTACCAGTCACATGCCTTAGGCCCTACTCCACCAAAGCTCCTAAATGTCCCCTAGAGGGCAAAATCACACCTTGTTGAGAACCACTGGTGTAAGTATAGGTTCAATGCCCAGTTTATTTGATTCCTTTTTTTTTTTTTTCCAGTCAAAACATTATTTATTCACTCAACAAATATTTATGGAGCACCTACTATGCAGGGAGGGAGATGGGGATGCTTGTAGATAGGCTGGTCGAAGAAGAATCATGTGAGGAAGTTATATGGAGCTGAGATTGGGGGCACAGAAAGCCCTACAGACAAGAGTCCCAGACTAGCAATTACAAAGGCCCTGATTCGACGGCATATAACAACAACAACAACAACAACGAAGCTAGCACACTTTGAGATTTTCAAGGAACAAAAGAAAATCAGTGTGTTTTTATTACCATAGATACGGCAGAGAAATGTCAGGAAGTATACCAAGGAATGCAGCTTGGATTTTATTCAAGAATTATGGAAAGCCATGAAGGAAATGAATCTAGAAAGTGTTATTTATGATAATTCTGTTTTGGAAAGAAGAGTAAGAATGGATAAATAAATGGAGGCACAGTCTAACAGTTGAATACTACACAGCAGTAAAAATGAATGAATTATTCACACATTAATATGGATGAATTTCAGGGGCATAATATTGCATTAAAAGGCAGGTCAAGTATGATTCCACTTATATAAGCAGGCAGAACTTAATAATATATTGATAAAACTTGAAAAAATAGCAAGGTAATGAAAGCAGAAGATTCAGGAGGGTAGTAGCCTCTCAGAGAAGGGAGGGACGGGCACAAAAGACACTTCAGCTGAGCTAGTAATGTTTCAAAGGTGTTCTGTTGGTGCACGCATGATTAAGCACCAGAAAGGTCACTGTTTTGAACTCACCAGCCCCTCACTCTGCAGAGGAAAGATGAGGCAGTCTGCTTCCATAAAGATTTACAGCCTTGTAAACTGCCCCTGTTAGGCAGTTGTACTGTCCTATAGGGTCATTATGAGTCAGAATCAACTCGACAGCAATGAGTTTTTAAAGTAATGTGTCATTAAAGTCAACAGTAGATATGCAGATATTCATCTTGGGTTTTTTCCCTGTCACCATATAATATAAACAATGATTTATGTTTACTAATATTCAGTACTTGGAAGGAAGATGGGGCAATCTACTTCCGTAGTGATACTGCCTCAGAAACCCAAGGAGGGGTCGCTATGAGTCGCATCCAACTCAACAGCAGTAAGTTTAGTTTTTGGAATATTCAATAAAACTGCCTTTAAAAGGGCAATATCAGAAACAAGGAGATAGTTTGGAAACCACTGCAGTAGTCCAGGGAGAAATGATAGGGAATTAAACTGAGGCAGAACATTAGAGCAAGTGAGACAAGTATGGCTCAGGATTTATTTTAGAGAAAAGTGCAATAGTACTTGGTGAATTTGGTATGAGAGAATGAGGGAAAGAGAGGAATCAAGGATGACTCATAGATTTTTGTCCTAAAACAGCTGGTGAGCAACACTTGGGGAAGCACAGTTTTAGAAGAGTAAGCTAAGAGTTCTATTTTGGACACTGTATTAGTTATCTATTGTTGTTGTTGTTGTTGTTACATGCCGTCGAGTCGGACTCGACTCATAGTGACCCCTCCTTGGGTTTCCGAGGCAGTATCACTACGGTAGTAGATTGCTTCATCTTCTTTCCAAGGAGTGGCTGGTGGGTTTGAACTGCCAGTCTTCTGGTTAGTAGTCAAATGCCTTAGGCACTAAGCTCCCAGAGCTCCCAGTTATCTATAATTCCATAGAAAATTTCCCCAAAACATAGCCGCTTAAACCAGTAGACATTTATTATCTCACTCTGTGGGTCAGGAATCTGGCTGCAAGCTTAGCTGGGTGCTTCTGGCTCAACATCTCTCATGAGGTCATAGCCGAGATATCAGTTATGGCTTGACTGGGCCTGGAGGACCTGTTTACGAGGTGGTTCAAGTACATGTGTGGCAAGTTAGTACTTGTTGTTGGCAGGAAGCCTCAGTTCTTCCCCATCTGGACCTCCCCATAGGGCTTTTTGAGTATCCTCCTAACACAGTGGCTGGCTGGCTTCCCCTAGAGCAAGTGATCCAAGAGAAAGCAATGCTTTCGTGTCTTTTGTGACTTAGTCTTAGAAATCACATTCTGTCATTCCATAATATCCTACTGTCCACTCAAATCAGCCCAGCCCTGTTTTGTGGGCGGGCTCGCAAAGAGCCTACAGACCAGGAGACAAGAACCAATGAGGGCTATATTGGAGGCTGGCTACTACAGATATATTAACTGATTCTTTAACTTCAAACCTTTCAGTAAAAGTTATCTCAAAGCATAAACTATGAAATCTGGATTATCTCTAATCAAATGAATGTTAGAAATAAGTTATATTATTTTAGCCAACACTTTCACATCCCCAGTAACCAAGCCCTATTTCATTTTGCCACAGTAATATAATAATTTCTTCAATCTAGTATACATATACTTCTTAAAATGCCTCACTAGTATGGAGGAAGCAATTAATTAGAACATAAGTGGTTTTAGTTTTATGACTGTATTTTCTCTCTATTCACCAGTTTTATTTATTTTCATCTACTCTGTCATATCACTGACATCTTGGGAAAAATTTTGAACCAGAACAAAAGCAGTGTGATCCTGCAGTTTGAGTAAATATTGGCAAAAGTTTGAATTGAACCTATGGGTGAGCATGCTTTTTAATTTTATATACACATATTTATATATGTGAAATCTACCCATTGGCAAAATTACATGCAAAAAAACTAAGTGGAGACACCAAACTCAAATACTAAGAGTGCTGACCCTGATTTTAATTAGACATAATCTCTTTTCTCTGCCTTCAAAGTAAGCCCTGTGGGTGCCAAGTCAGGTGGCAGAAACTCTTGTTCCCATCCTGCTTGGCTATTGTCAAGGCACTTAACTTTGATGACACTTAGTTTCCTCATTTGTGAAATGAAGGGATTGAACTTTCCATCCTAGAAATCCACTAATT